ATTAAATCAAATACGCCGCTTTATTGCATTACACTACATATTATTAACAATTCAACCATCAAATTCGTCCTGTTGCATTTTTTCTTTTATTTCTCGTGAATAGATAATTCTTAACCTCTTGTTAAGGAAGAAATTCTTGAAAACTATCCGGTTCTTGGCCAATCTCCCAGCGTGTGCCACATCGTCAAGGATCTTGACTTGAGGGCTGATGGCGGTGAACACGGTGAAGCACGAGATACGCAAGCGTCGTCTATTGTCGACGACGCGTACTTCCCTCTTGCCAGTGAGGAATCAAGCATTTGCGAATAGGGAAGAAAAGGCCATGGATGCTCCATGAAGTAATTCAGACGAGAACGACGACATTGATTATCTCGTGAGCTTTCATCGGACGAAGACGATCGAAGAGAAAAGGCAAGTGCCCGACTGACTTCATAAATTAATGACGAATGATATTCATTAAGCACTGTTACTAGCTTTTTGCTTTGCACCTGTTTAACGAGCATAATTACCCTAAGATTATCTATATTACTATTTCAATAAAGTCCTACGCTACGTTACCTCTAGCACCTAATACAATTGTACACTGCGCTAAACAAACAGGCAAATTTAAAACATTTATCCTAAAGCATTGGCGCCCACCAGCACCAGTTCTCCAAACGTAGGACAATACGTAGAAGCATGTGCGAGCTAAACAGAGTGGGTGCGAAGAGTCGTCGGAGTCTATAAATTCAAGTTGACGCTTTGTGGTGAGTGATGCGAACACGACATTGCTCTTGTACTAACTTTTTTTCCTCTTCGCCAATTTCTAGAACTACAAATAATTCACTCCTTACCTTCCATCCTTTATTTTAAGTTATTAGGCTAACCGTTGATATAATTACTAATACCGTATTTACTCGCGTAATGAACCCACTTTTTTTTTCAGAAATGTTGACGCCAATTTAGGGGGAGGGTTCATTACGCTGGAGAAAAAAGTCACGGGAGTTATAACAGCGAAAATTTCGCGTGGCGACTTTGTTTTCACCCGTGAAATGCGCGACAATTTTTGTTTACTTTTTTTTGTAGCCCGAAGCTTTTTTTTGTTTCGTCCCGTAATGAAGGTGCATGGATCGACGCCGAAGTGTCGTCCAGCCACTCAGCTCAATGCTCCAGCGCATGCTGTTAGTAACCAGCCGTGTAGCTAGCGTACCGGCCGAACGCGCCCTGCGCGGCAGGTGTCCCAACTAAGTTCACAACGAGAAACCCAACAACGAAAACGTCGCATCGGATGGCGGCGCGCAAACGTTGTACTAGACGTTGCGGGTGCCAAACGCGCCGTCGGCGCGGTGGGTGCGGTTGCGCTTTGCATAGGTCCGAGATTGCGAGCACGCGGCGTGTTTTATGACACAGCACTGGTAGGTGTTCTGTGACAGCACGAGGACGCCACGCCTTTTGTTTTTATGCCACTATGTTTGTGTGGCGCTATCAGCAAAGAGGTTTCCCCTGCACTCGACAGATGGCACTTTGCCATACAAAGCGCTACTTTCAAATTTTGATTAATTGATTGATTTGTGGGGTTTAACGTCCCAAAACTACTATTTAATTATGAGAGACGCCGTAGTGGAGGGCTCCGGAAATTTTGACCACCTGGGGTTCTTTAACGTGCACCCAAATCTGAGTACACGGGCCTACAACATTTCCGCCTCCATCGGAAATGCAGCCGCCACAGCCGGGATTTGATCCCGCGACCTGCGGGTCAGCAGCCGAGTACCTTAGCCACTAGACCACCGTGGCGGGAGACTTTCAAATTTTAATTGACATGGTCTGCGCTCGCACAGCTCGAAACTGTTTAGCCTGATTGCATAACTATCTTTGGCTTTCAATGCGTTGTTACTTTGTCATATAATGGATTGATCTAACGTTGTTTCTACCGTTAACGGCACTGGCTATCATACCAAAATAAAATAAAGATACGTTTAAAAAAGATTTTTCCCCCTTTTTTTTTCAAGGATCAAGGTTAAAAGGGTGGGTTCATTATGCCAGTGGGTTCATTACGCGAGTAAACACGGTACGTATAGCTGACTCCCATCTGAGGGCTACTGTCTTTTTCTATGTCTATTTACCAGAGCATTTTTTTTTACTTACCACCCCAAAACGTCAGCAAAATAGGATACAGCCTTGAAGGCAGCAACTGTCTATTCTTCAGCAGCTAAAAAATTTTCGCGATTAACTTTCATGCACTCCAACCGCCCGCAACGTATACGCTCAGCGTAAGAATCACATGGAAGTAGCCGAGTAGTCCGAAAACAGGTGCGCGCAACTTGTCAGTTTACAGGAAACGTCAAAGCAGGGGTGCGACCACTTGAAATCAGCAAAACTGACATTGCGGACACTTTGAAACCAACAATACCAATATCGAGCGTGACAGGAAGAAGTTAAAAGAGAACAAACGCGTGAGAAGGAGGGTCATTCAAGGCACTAATACGGTACAAGCTCGCAAAGTCAGAAGTTCAAAACTACAAAATGTATGTATGTATATATATATCTATAATATATATATATATATATATATATATATATATATATATATATATATATATATATATATATATATATATAAGGGAAAGAAGTGTATACCTAAGGGCTCGTTTTTTCCGTGTTTTTAACACAATAATAATGAGATATAACAGACAGTAATGCCAAGGAATGTACAGGGGAAGTTATTAACATTAATGGAATGTAAATAAGAAGAAAGAAAAGTTTTCTTTCTTCTTATTTACATTCCATTAATGTTAATAACTTCCCCTGTACATTCCTTGGCATTACTGTCTGTTATATCTCATTATTATTGTGTTAAAAACACGGAAAAACGAGCCCTTAGGTATACACTTCTTTCCCTTATTTCATTGAACGAGGGTCTCGTACTGGCAGACTTGGTGTGTTTAGGTTGTATAAGAGGGACAATTAATCAGCTGCCCGCTCATAATAAGTTCACGTGCTACGTGACGCCAAACATGCGCATAAGAGTGTTTTCACACTCGTTGTTTGGCTTATAGATGGCGCTGACTGTCGCTCCTACTTCTAAATTCACAGATAAACCCAAAAAAGTGGATGGAGGGAGGGCCGCTGTAATAGCTCAGTGGTAATTCGAAGGTCGTAGGTTCGTTTCCTGCTTACAGTTGGTAATTTTTTCATCCACTTTTCTTTCTTCTTATTTACATTCCATTAATGTTAATAACTTCCCCTGTACATTCCTTGGCATTACTGTCTGTTATATCTCATTATATATATATATATATATATATATATATATATATATATATATATATATATATATATATATATATATATATAATGTGGGAAAGAAGTGTATACCTAAGGGCTCGTTTTTCCGTGTTTTGACACAATATTAATGGGATCTAACAGACAGTAATGCCAACGAATGTACAGGAGAAGTTATTAGAACCAATGGAATGTAAATAAGAAGAAAGAAAAGTGGATGAAAAAATAACCAGCCGTGAGCAGGACCAGCCTGCTCAGGGCTGGTTATATTTTATTTTTTCATCCACTTTTATTTCTTTTTATTTACATTACATTGGTTATATATATATATATATATAAGGAAATTAGATTTTCAGACAATTAGGGGGAAGAAGGTGAGGCAAGCTACGAGCCAGATGAAGTTGGGAGCTTATAGGCGGTCAGGTGGTTTTTCTGCATTGCTAATAAACTGCAACATACCATCTACTTGGAGATAGCGCAGCAGCCAAGCATGCCATTTCAAAATTCGGTTCGAATAGAGATGTCAAACAATTCCCAATTGTATGTCTACTTTAAATGCGTGAGGACGAAATCCTTAAAAAAGAAGAAAAAAAGGTCTGGGGTCCGGCCTCACTGGCGACCATCTGTTGGTAATGCACTCCCAGGGTTGGCCACCCTGATGCAGTACCTAGCCACAACCTCCCAAACACGGAGGAAGGAAAGGTAAGGAGAGGCCCTGACGTGACTCGTTGTGAAGCCGCGATATAGTGTTCTAGAATAATGGGTAGTGAGCCCACTCTACGGGGAGAGGGTACGTTGCCGTGGCGCAAAAAATGTCAACGAGTTTTCGTTTTCTTGAGTGCCCGCGTGGCGGCGCTACCATCGTCAGCAATGGGAGTTTTCACCTTTTCACTCCGCTTCTGTGTTGGCTGTGTGTCGTCGTCGCTGTAGGTTTACGGCCGAGCAGTGCTCTGTCAATACGTTTCATTTTTCAGTTCCTATAATTGTGAATAATGTAGATTGGTAGTGAACACCTCGCGGTCACCGACACTTAGTGCGGAATGGCACCACGTCGCCACAACCATTGTTATGCGCCCGGATGCCAGACGGGCTACGTTCACGTGAAAGGTGCTCCAGAACCGTCACTGTTCATCGTCCCCAGGGATGAGAGACTCAGAAGACTGTGGGAGAATAATTTACACCGTGCGGACAAGCCACTCGAAGACACAAGTGTGGTTTGTGAACTCCACTTCGAGCCTCGGTACGTAATTCGCGATTATGTACACACCATCGGCGGTAAAGAAGTGCGGATCCCACGCGGGAGGCCTATGTTGAGCAGTGACGCTGTTCCCACTATTTTGCCGAATTTGCCATCGTATCTCACCAAAAAAGCAGTGAAAGAAAGGCCGCCTCGAAAAAGGAAGTCTGAGAGTCATGCTTCGCCAGTGAAGCGCCGGCAGTGCACGAGTGGCAACTCAACGGTGTTGCACACAAACGCCGTAAATACTCCGGATCCAGACGCTGCAGCATCGAGGCAAGAAGACGAACAGCTGGCCATCGATGTAGAAGTTTCTTCTTCAGAAAATCCGCAGGAAAACCGCAAGTCTATGTCATTATTTAGCTGTCTTGAGGTACCATCGCCGCACTGGACTAAGCACATTTTTCCAGATCACAAAGGCATTGTGTACTGCACGTCCGTGTTGACACCGAAGAATGAAGTACGATCGGAAAAAGTGGTCATGTTTTTTGAGTCACGCATTGTGAGCTCCTGCAAAGTGTTCATCAGAGGTACCCTGTTGAAAGAAGGCACCGTGGAAACAGAGGCAGCAGCAGAAGAAGTGCTGAAAACAAGTGATCGTATGTGCTTTGCGTTGGAGCAATATCTCACGAAGACTATGAAGAACGATTTTTTACGAAGAGGCTAAAGGACCATGTGGTTACATGCAACGAAATGTACTTCAGCATTAATTGTCTTGGCCAGGTTGATAAAAAGGTATTTATAATGTGCATTTTTACTAGTATGACAGCTATAACTCTTGTCGCTACGAAAGATTTCTTGCCAGTTATTGCAACCTAATTCACTGCACCTTTCTTTCAGGTGCACAATGTGTGTCTTGCCGCTATTTGAAACGATCACTGCAAATCCTTCGAGCCCGGGTGAAGTGAACAGCAACAAAGAATTGCCAATATGCAGCGCTGAAGTTGCGTGTTGTGGCCAGAAGAAACACTAGATTGTTTTCTCGCTTGAAAAGTGTGAAAAAGAAGCTGGAACAAATGCAAATTAGGAATGCTGCTATAAAAACAGAAACTTTAGAAGCACAGATTGCAAGGCTTCCACCAAGACAGCAGGAAGCTGTACGACAGTGCTTTGCAGCTTCAAGAGTAAAACCCAATGGGTTGCGCTATACGAAAAGCTGGGTTTTAGATTGTTTAATCATGAAGATGAAGAGCCCTCGCCTGTATGAACACCTTCGTCGCAATAACATCCTAGCCTTTCCATGTAAATCAACCCTGAAGCGCTATGTACATGCATACCGCACTGTGTTTGGATTTAGTGAGAGAGTTCTAAAGCAGCTAAAGGAAAAGACAGCGGAGCTTGATGTTTGGAAGAAACACGGTGGATTGGTCATCGACGAACTGAAACTGTCAGAACATTTTTCAGTGAAGAAGTCGGGTGCAATTGAGGGTTTTGTGGATTTAGGTCCATTTACAACTTCCAAGGACAAAGGTGTACCATGTGACCACGGTATGGTTATCCTTTTCGTCCCATTTCAAGGCAAATGGAGTAAAGTTATTGGTTACTTTGCTACACATGGAAACATGAAAGGTGACACACTCGCCAAAGTTGTCATTGAAGCAACCATACTAGCTGAAAAGAGTGGGCTCTTTGTGGATTTTATTACTTGCGATGGTGCAAGTTGGAATACAAATATGTGGAAAGTACTTGGGATCCAAGCGACAGCTGACTCTACTACTTCGAAAATTGAACAGCCCAGTGATGCATCACGGCACCTATATTTTATATCTGACTTCCCACATCTCATCAAATGGCTACGGAACTCGCTGCTGAAGTCTGGGTTCAACACCCCTGCAGGTCATGTAAGTCTGATGTTTTTAACGCATATCACACATTGGATTTCATATATGCTTACATTATCTCCAAGCTTAACCAGGTGCATTTCAATATGGTCCACTTAATTTTATTGCAGGTTGATATGCAACATGTAAGGGAAGCTCACAAAATAGACTCCTCCAACGTGACCCTTAAAGTGATGCCGGGCATAACACGGTGTCACCTGGATCCTAATGGATTTGAGAAGATGAGGGTCAGCTATGCCTTCCAGCTTTTTGGGACAAAAGTCCTCCAAGCTTTCCACCTATACAAAGACAAGTTGGAAGCAACATTGGGAAGGATGGATGTAACACAAGAGTTCTTCAGGTTAGTCGTCTCTTGTCATATGCTGGTTAAAATTAGGTAGTGAAATGTCTGATATAACCAACTTGTAAATGAAAATTATATCTTAATAGAATGCATCATTAGCACCGACATTTGGGCGAGTTGGTTTTGGTTCATAGTTATGAACGGCACAAAACACACGAGACACAAAATGACGTCCTTGTGTTTTTCGTGATTTTGTGTCTCGTGTGTTTTGCGCCGTTCATAACTATGAAGAATGCATCATGCAATGTAAACTACAAAACTATGAAAACAGCTGTTTTGCATATTTCAGCAAAATCCACCAGCTCATAAGAGTGATGACATCGCGGTTCCCTGCTGAAGCCCTCAGACCGTGTTCATCAGGAACAGCAGTGCTGCAGTATTTTCTGTCCTATCTCAAAGCATGGGAGCAGCATACGAAAGGTGGAGGAGGCTTTCTGAGCAATTCTACTGCTGCTGGCCTGCGTGTGACCATTTCGAGTACACTAGAGTTGCTTGACTATCTCACTGAAAATGTTGGCTTTAAATACCTAATGACTGCAAAAACTAGCCAGGATCCTTTGGAAAACCTTTTCGGTATTATCAGGCAATCTTCTGGCAGTAATTATCATCCAACACCAACTCAGTTTTTGATTACAGTAAACTGCATGTCATTCTATGGTTTAGTTAAAGGTGTCAGTCAAGGAAACTGCGAAGAGGGCATGCTAGGTTCCCTTTTGGAAGTTAGTAGCCCACGAGACACATCGCAAAATGCAGCAAGCATGGATTTGGCACACAGCTCTTCTCAGAATGCGCAGGCGTTGATTATACCTTCCCAGGACCACAGCCAGCATGTTGCGAGGAGAGACTCGAGAATTATATTTTACATTGCTGGCTACGTGGCACGAAAGTGCATTTTGAAAAGCAATTGTAAAGATTGTTTGATACTACTTACCGTGCCTGCCCCAGACGAAAGCTTTCAGCTTGCAAGGTTGACACTATTTCGTGACAACGGTGGACTCCTCTACCCAAGTGCTTGCCTATTTCGGTTCATAAAGAAGCTTGAAGACTTGTTCACGGGCTGCTTTTCTTGTGAACTCCATGCAGACAGCATTTTAGATGTGCTGACCATAGTGAAAGCAAGGCTTTGGCAAGAGGTTGGGTGCCCAAGCCATGTCTCAATGCTCTCTCAAAAAATGATACAATTCTATGTTGTTACACGACTTCATTTTTACATTAAGGGGCTAAATACAGACAGAGCAGGCAAACGCTAGAAAGCAAAGCACTTAAAGATAAGGCGCTGCTATTAAATATTTTTTCCTTGCTTTAGAAGATTTTTAAAATTTTAATATTGTTCCTGTGTGGATTTTACAAGTGTAGGTTAAACTTGATGTATGAATCCTTTCTGAATATTCTTTTTCTGTTTCACTGACCCAAATACAAGAGAATGCCAGATTTGAAAAACAAGCAAAATAGTATGTTGCCACTCGCCACGCATACTATAGCAATAAACCCTTGACTAAGTGGCAACACTGCCTAATTCAATTGTGAATGGTGACTTTGGTCCTTAGCATGCCATCAACAGTGCGATTAATATGATCTACGAGAACATGTGTAGCTCTCTATAAAAATGCATGTTATTTGAATGGAAATGTGTCTATTATTTGTCATTTTCAGTATTTCTTCCGATTCAGTGTCTTTACTTATTGTGTGAACAATATGTGTTGAGTGTTCATGTGTTTTTGTGAACTTTTTTATGCCAAGTGTGCTATTGAAAATATTTAGCATCTCTTTGTGATTATTTATAGTTGTGAATATTTTTCTAGCATCTATTGGGCTGTTTTAGGAGACATGCCCTTTGTCGCACACGCTGATAAGTACACAATGGGGCAAGGCCCTCTTCAAGCTATTTCAGCTTTTTCCATCTGCTTTCACTTTGAGAAAAAAAAATGAAAGTGATTGATATGCATGGCTTTTGTGGAGTACGGTCGTTGTGCTGCCCCACCAAATAAACTTTTAACTTATTCCCGTGAACGATTGTTGTCTATATTTTTTTCCACACCTTCATTACAAATTCGCTTTTATTTCTTGGGCATGATTAGGATAGGTCTTTCCTTCTGTGCACTACCACACATTTTCTTGCACTTTTCAGGAGAATATATCAACTGAGAGCTTGTAAGGTGCTTAAGTTTGTAGTAATATTGTTTTATTTAGTGAGGGTACGACTTCACTAAAGTTACTATTGAGTACAAACGCTAGCATATTGGTGGAGAAATGTGAGCCGCTTATATGCCACTCTGCGACTTAATAAATTAGTGATCATGAAAACATCGGTCTCTTTTATCTAAAGGCAATCGATGTCAGTGCACGTTAAAATTTCCGGAGTCCTCCACTACGGCGTGCTTCATAAGCAGAAAGTGGTTTCATAATTCAATTATCTAAAGGCAATAAAAGTGCGAGAGCGCAATACAAAACTGGCTGTTTACAGCGTATATTGCATACCGCTGATGACGCGCTCATGTTTAGCGATACTTCATGCGCCAGAACGACGGCCAAAGCAAGAATATGCTCAGGCAAAAGAAGAAAAGCAACGACAATGGCTATGAACAGGGGTTGCACAAGAGTAGTTTGTGCTTGAAGCGCTGGCAAACTAACCTTCGCGCTGCGTTGGTCGAGAGCAGCAACGCGTCGCTTCCATTGCAGGTGGTGGTGGCGCCATCTACCAGGTGAGACATAAAGTCTCAAGCGGAAGCTAAAATAGATAGGCAAAACCTACACACTTTGCTGAGCACAGAGCGCAACTTGCGTGAAAAACTCGAGGAAGAGATTGGTACCCTCCAAACCCAAATAAAAAAACTCGAACAGACAAACAGTACTCAGGACGCCCAAGAAAACGGAGACCAGGCTACCTCAACTCCTCGACACGACTCCGGGACACCAGAGCCAAAACACCCCTCAGACAAGCAATTTCGCAGCCAATGGAAGGAAGACATTCCATCACAGGGCACAAGCAGGATAAGTGAAGACATTGAGCACACAGTTGAGCTAGCAGAGGAAGGCAATCCTGGGACACAAGTGGGCAAAAAAGGCCGACCCTTGAAATCAGAGAACACCAGCCAGAAACAGCAGCAGCTCAGCGCTGACCATAAACAGAAACATCCCTATCCTCAAACGCAGTCAAATGACCATCCACCACAAAGCAAACGCACTGTAGTCCTAGGCGACTCCAATGCCCATCGATTGAAAAAGCACCTCCGTAAAGCTATACATGATCAAGACTACGCATCACTACAAAATCTGGTGCCAATCTTGAAGAAACACTTCACCGAGCTGAAGGAGAAATTCAGAAGGCAAATGCCACCAACACAGAGCTGCAACTAATAATACATGTAGGTACTACTGATCTTTTAAATAAAGCAGACATTAAAAAGACCACTGACCACCTGAAGCAACAACTGACTTACTGGAGCCAAAAGACACCCAAACACCACTACATAGTCAGTGCCATCCCTGAACCGAAAGCAAGGGGTCAACAATTTGCTACAGCATGCCAAACATGGAACACGGCAGTTCAAACGGCGTGTACAGCCTTGGGCCCCAGTGTGCGGTTTATGTCAGCAGCCGCCCAGCTAACCGCAGATCACCTGGATGATATCCACTACTCGGAACAGGCAGCGGACCAGGTTGGCAGCCAACTAGGTGAGGCCATTAAATCTTTTTTATGGGACAAACAACCAACGCGCCCACAACACTGGAGACGATCAACAAGACCAGATCAAAGGACAGTGCAAACGCTACTGAAAGCAATGACAACAGCCCTAGGCAAACTAGGACAGAGAAACCGGCACTGGTAAGCAACCAAGCAGGCAAAACCATACGCACAACCCCCCCCCAATTTCAGTCCTCCAGAGATCATTGTCAACCACTTTCCAGAAAAAGAAGAAACAGAAGAACAAAGCAGAGTGAAGTGAAAAAAGAACTCACCATATGCCTACTAAACATGCAAGGAACAAACAAACTCAAGTGGGCTGAACTCCAAGACCAAGTGAACAGACAAAAAATAGATATCTACGCTCTAACGGAAACTCACCTGCGGGACGACGAACAACCTCTGCTCCCGGGGCTAGTATGGCAAGGAAAGAACAGAAGTAAAGGACAAAAACGGGGTGGAGGCATTGGTTTTATTACACCGAAGAGAAGCACTGTAAATGGGGACTGCCAGGACAAGGAACACATGTGGATAAAAATAAAGATTGACACACGTGACCTGTACATTTGTGTCATATACATGGCAACAGGCCTCGAGGAACAAAAGTGGAATGACAGCATTTACGCATGCCTCAAGAAAGACATTGAAGAAACCTACAAAGGCCAACCGGTACTACTGATGGGAGATTTCAACTGCCACATAGTAGAATTGGATGGTCACGAAAAAGATGCTGCTGGCTTCCGAAAATTAATTAAACAATGCAACCTACAAATAGCAAACCTCCATCCAGCTTGTGAAGGCACCTACACATGGTCACGCAGAGCTAACAAATCTGCTATAGACTACATACTTTACAATCAAGAGGTAGTAAGGCAAGATATAAACATCACAGCTCTGTACATAGACGAAGACAAAACAAACAGCTGTGGAAGTGACCACAACCGAATGAAACTGTGCCTCAGACGCCATCAACCCCATCGAGTAAACCGGCCTGAAACTACAAAAGCTCACTGGCGAGTGAAAGAGCAAGAGCGCCTGGATGAATTTTCCAATAAACTCGAGTCAACATAACAGAACCTCTAACATACGAGGAATTCGCAGAAAAATGCCTGTCAGTAGCACAAGAAACCATTGGGAAAACTAGTGAAAAAAAAAGGACCAGAAACACACCTTGGTTTGATGGAGAACTGAAGACAGAAATTCGCATTCGCAAAGAATTATCCAGAAGGCACCGTCATACGCCCAATGAGTCGACAGAAAAGAGGTAATTTGGAAGGAATACCTGGCCCAAAAAAGAAAAGTAAAGGAAATGGCCGCAAAAAAGATAGACCAGAAATTCCAAAAAGAAGAAGAAAACCTGCATAAGGATCGTAACCATTACAGTCAGAAGTTTTGGGCATACATAAGGACACTGGAACCAAAGGACACCCTTCAGGAAGATTCACTCATACTACTTACTGAAAATAGCATTCCTCTACATACCAAAGAAGAAATTGAACAGCACATAACTAAACATTTTAAAAATATGCAAACCAATCCAGTAGATCCACCACCCCAGATCAGCAGTAGAAAAAAGGACAAGACCAGCACACCTGAAGAAGAAAAGCTGACTGGACCAATTTCTAAACTAGAACTAAAGAGACGCATAAATGATCTAAAAAACCAGAAAGCAACAGGACTCGATGATATACCCAACGAATTCCTGAAAGCATTCAAAACAGAGGCAAAGGAAATGCTACGCGGCTGCCTCAACGACATTCTGGCAAGCAGAAAAATACCAAGAACTTGGAAAGAAAGCCGGGTAAAGCTGATTCACAAGGGAAAGGGAAAGGAAACAAGTGACATTGGGGCGTATCGCCCCATAACAATACTGAGTAGCATTCTGAAACTCTTCAATACAATCCTGAATCGCAGGCTACAAAACCACTGTGAAAAAACCTTAATCTTGTCAGAATCGCAAAATGGATTTCGCCCAAACAGACGGACAAGTGACCATATCTTTACCCTAACCCAGGCAATAGAAATGAAAAACAGAGACAAATCTCAACTATACCTGGCATACCTGGATCTACAACAAGCATATGACTCAGTGCCGCACTCACGACTGTGGGAGAAGCTAGAAAAAATTAATATTGAGGAAGACTTCATCAAATTACTAAAAGCACTATATGCAGAGTGTACGGCAGTGTATGAACTGGGCAAATATAAATCTAGACAGGTGCAACAAAATATTGGACTCAAACAAGGGTGCCCACTATCGCCAACATTATTCAATATTTACATTAACAGCCTACTAGAACAAGTAAATAGAGAAGGACCAGGGCTACGTCTTTCCACCGTAACAACTGAGCGCCAAGAAATCTACACTAAAATTTCATGCTTGGCATTTGCCGATGACATCGTATTATTGGCTGAATCCCCAGCGGACCTGCAACATCTCCTCGACATATGCTCTCGCGTAGCCCACGAAGATTGCCTCACATTCAACACTGACAAAACACAATGGATGGGCATAAACATTGATGACAAAGACATAACATTCACCATCCAAGGCAACACCATCAAGAAAACAGCAACATACAGATATTTAGGCATAACAATATCAGACCAAAAGAATTACCTTGACAAACACCAAGAATTACTCCTAAAACAATCCAACCGCCTAAAAGGTAGGGTGTGGCACCTGTCACGGCATTCCTACAACCCCTACAGGGTAGGCCGCACACTTTGGAAGACTCTTGCCGTGCCTGCAATAACCTACGCAGGTGACACATTGGCGTACTCTACCCAAACAGTGCGATGTTTGGACCGCCACCAAAATGAACTGGGGCGCTGGCTACTGGGAGGCAGCTTTGCAACAGCAAACGCAGCAGTAACAGGGGAGTTGGCCTGGTCAACTTTCGAAGCACGCGAAGCAAGGTCAAAAATACAATATGCGGGCCGGCTAAAGTTTCTACCAGAAACAAATTACAGCCAGCGCATATACCTACACCTCCGATACAGGGGCATAAAAACACAGTGGATGAAACGACTGGCTTCTCTGGAAAATAAATTCGGCCATAACACAAACTGGAAGAAGCAAAATCGGAACGAGAATGGCGTATAATAACAAAAAACACTATAACCGAAGCCAGCACAGAGATGTGGCGCACGTCGGCGGCAAAGAAAAGGAGCCTACAGTTATACCTCGAATACAAGCAGGCTCCAGACCGTGAGCCATTTTACAGGGGCGACCGGGAAAGCGCCCTCCTGTTCCAAGCCAGGACGGGGTCACTGCCCACGCGGAAGCGGCATTGGGAACTGTTCGACACGGACCCGTCGTGCC